CGTTGTGGTTTACGCAATAAGCACCTACCTTCACCCAAAGCTAGTTGCTCTTCCTGGCTTGCACCACTTACAACTACAAAGTCAACATTTTGCTACACTTAAGTATCAGTGGAGCAACTCAGAGTTACTTTACCAGAAACGCGATTCAGAGCAAGGCTCAAGGCAAGGGGGGCTCTCGCATCGCCAGCAATAAACTCGAACCCGCCAACAAAACCCGCCCCTACCCGCCCCTTGTCCCGTCCTTCCCGCGCCCTCCTTGTGCTGGTCCTTGTTTTTCTCACACGTTGATGTCAGAACTTGCATTCTTCAACCCTGAAGCAGACAATATTTCCCATGTACCGCATCGCTTCGATTGTCAAGCAAAAACCTTACTGTTTAGGTTACATGTCAACAGAAGGATACCTCAGCCAAAGTCTACAGACGTCGATTTTCCCTCCAGGACAGCCTCATTTTCCCCCAGTCTACATACCCTACCATTCAGTCTCCATCTCCTGCAAGGTATGTAAGAAAGTAGGTAGCAAACCCGTAGCTACGCCCTACCCCTACCTCTCTCCCCCCTCCCCCCCTCCTTCCCGCCCCCTGCCCCTGACATATCGCTGACCCGCCTTCTTGCATATCCAAAGCCCACACCGCCGTTACGGCGAAGGATTCTATATGGACAGGGGTAGGTGTGCGGATTAGCATATCAAGAGCAACCACGATGATAAACATCAAGTTCAAAAGGATGATGAGCTGGTCAGCAGCTCCGTTGTATTCATGCAGGTGGGGAGGGATGTTTGGATGTGACGTGGTGGACTTTGTGAGGACTCGGGGGTTCTGCCTGCTTAAGCTAGGTGAGAACAGCCAGCTGTTGTTGAGGTTGTGTTTGTTTACCTACCTTTGTTGTGCTGGTACGGATGTGTGAGTTGTTTCCCTGATGCTAGTGTGCTGGCCGGCCCCCAGGCTGATAGTCAAGACTCGATGGGGTATATGGTACATCGTTACAAAGCAAGCCGGGGTTTTTATCGATCGCAAGAACGTCCAGCAGGTGCATGATGCTGTTTGAAGGTTCTTAGAATTCTTAGTAGTCACTCGGTCTCGTTCAGTAATAGATAGGTACCGTCGAGAGAGCAGACAATCTGCTTTGGAACAGTCCCTTCAAAAATGACATCACAGAAGGGGTCCAGAGTTCATCGTAGAAAAAAAAAGGGAACCCGACCTTGCATATCGATTGTGAAACGACCCTGAATATTCTCCTTCATCGCCCCAGAATTTCCTTCTGACAAACCAGGCGGCATGAGGAACAGGTACCTTTTTGTGCATTCAACGAGTTCTGGGCACGTCGAGGATTGTTTGCCTACCTACAGCGATAGGTAAGATGGACTGCACCCTTTAGAGAGGACAGCCACACCTACCTAGGTGGTAGAAAGTCATAATAGCAGCCTGGTATATGGGTCCAACCTCCTCTGGCTGCAAGGACAATAGAGATAAGTCATGTAGGATGGATGGAAAAAGACAAAAAGAAACAGATGAGCCCGATCCCTCTCCGCGCCGCAATTTACCATTTGATCCCATCCTATCACCTTTTGCCTTTCCCAAACCCGCAAACCGATGAGCAAAACCTGATCTGAATATCCAAACCTACAGCCTGAGAGCACTCTGGCCATCCGATCCAGGCTCCGGAAACCTCAACCCATCGATCTCAAGATAAAACCTCCCCCCCAAAAAATACGAGAGGTTTGTATCTTTTTTTTTCTTGCGGTGTGTGTTTGTGTGAGATGTAAGATGAAATCTGCAGCATGTATGTATGTCTGGCCATGAGAAAAGGCCGATATAAAAAAGATGCAAACTGACGTTGACAAGAGACAAACACTCACCTTCGAAAATGCCGTGGAATCTTCGGCCCCTGACATATATCATCAAACGCTGAGGCTACAGGTATATGCATTTTAGCCATCGAAACTTTTTATGAGACTCTTTCCCCCCCTGGGATGGATTGATAATCAGTGAGTAAAAGAAAAAAAATAAAAAAGGCGAGAGACATCATCTTCTTCGTCTCAGCAATGTCCAAGACATTTAGAGACAACCACATCCCCGAACCGGCCGATACGGCACCCAGCAAAAAACAAAACACGTTTTCTTCCTGACCGTTCGTTCGTGCCAATTCTCTGGGGCTTTCACTTTTTTTTTTCTTTTCTTTTTTCTTCTTTTTTTTTTTAGTTTTTTTTGCTTTTCCTCAGAGAGAAACAGTGGCGTTTTGTTTCTTGGAAGGGGGAAAAGCAAGTGTTTGGTGATACAAGATGACGATGAAGAGAGCTGTGCTGTAGTAAGCCTTTCAGTTTAAAAGTAAACCAAGACATTACGGTGCTTCCAATGTCTTCAAAGCTGACCTCCCCCCACGAGGTTGCCGATCGTTCCCCCCAAGAAGCCGAATATGTGTGGCGTTCTGTTCAGGCAGCATGGTCACGGTGAGAGAAAACCTTCACCGCAGCTTTGGGAATTTTTTGTCCCCCCCTCCGCCCCCCCTTCCGTGCGTTTCGTGTGTGGCTTGTCAGAATGATTCAATCAGACAGACCCTGAGTTTTGTCCTCCCCCTCATAAACGTGTCACTTGTATCACAGGCCGGTCTTCTTTGTACACAGTACTTGTGTCGAAACAGGTCCGAATTCATGAGAAGGAGAGGGCATGGCAAAAAATACAATCAAAAAATAAAATAAAAAGAAGGCTGGCTCTACACGCATATTATAGGTAAGTGAGGTATGTATGGCCTCGGGTAGCTGCATTCTCCTCCCCTGCCACACCGGGCCTCATGCTGTTGTTTCTAACCGGTCGGTGAGGCTGCTAGTTCCTCTTTCCTATCTTCATCACGGTGAGCACATCGATTGGCTAACACAAAAGAAAAAGTCGACAGCCCAATTCAAGCCACACAACGGAAGCACGCACCCCCCCCATCCTGTTGCCGGTTGCTCGACTGGAAATTGTAACGAGGACGTCATGTGCCCCCAGCGGTGGATGACTCTCAAATCTTGAGGGGAGGGGGGGGGGGGCAATCGCCAAAGGTTCAAAAGTCTACCATGACTTTCATCTTTTCAAGGTATCATGGAGGTTGATAAAGTATTTCCCCCATTATCAGAATCTTATCAAGCCCACACCGTCCCTGTCACCTACGCCCGCTCCCGACTGTGGTATTCTACAAGGGATGCTGCTGCGGGATATGGCAGGGAAAAGCGTGTGGTGTAACCACATCCAGTGGCTATCCTTGACCAAACAGCAGCAACGCAAACAAGGCCTGAAAGCTTCCTCAGCCAAACATAGGTACCATAAGGCTGGAGTGCTCCCACGATAGTCTTTAAAAAAAAACATGGTGTACATCGATACTGCCTGTACCTACAGTCCCATATCGACCCTCAATAGTATTGACATCACCATCCCAAATGAACTCCAATCTTGGCAAAATCGACCACTCCCTCCTCAGATTACGTAGCATTTTCGGCTCTCCTACCGAAAGGGAAGAATGTGATTTATCCGTAACGAGCAAGTTGTTTTTTTTTTTTTTTCAAGATGAGTTTGGGCCAGAAATAGAAGAGGCTGGCTTTCTCATAAACTCACAAAATAACACCGTATCATCCATCCATCATGCGGTTCCCGCAGATTGATGACCCAGCCCCAAAGTAGCGCACTGACTGTGATGTAGCTCTGAGTTCATGCCTCTGGCTGATTGAGGGAGAGGTTGGCCCACTGCAGTGAAATGAAGTCTTTCTTGGAGTTGCATTTTTTCTTTTTGTCTTTATGACTGATCAAAACTGTGTTGCCTGGAATAGTTGTCCATCATCTCCAATAAACGAGAGATATCTGCTGGCGGTTGTTGCACCTATGTCGAAGCATAATGTTTCTTGAAAGGGCCAAGCGAAGCGCTCTCGGCGAGCTCCCGCTGGACCATGCAGGTTGGCGACAGGGGGCCTGGTATGTACATGATACGGGGGGTGCCTTGAGAACAACGACATATCTTTTTGAATCTCACCTGAAAATCCGAACGGATATATAAGAACCAACTCGAATTGTGGATAACCTTTACCTCATCATTTGAGACATACTTCGGATAATAATCTTCGTTGGCGTCGAGGACGGGCAAAGCTCTCGTCGTGTACGGATACTGTCGACTGCGCTTTGGGCTTGAAGAAACGGTTTGACCAGGAGTGGAAGAAGTTTCCGGAAAACCAGGTTCGCTCGCTTGCTGGGGAACTGTGCTAGGGTAATGAAAGGGGCATGGGGCGCGTCCCAGCACACATCCTTCGAGATCTCAGCGCGGGTCAGCACTGAACCCGGTGTGTGACGAGGAACATTCAGCACACACAACAGGGCGGCCGCCCACACTTTTCCGTGGTTGAGGTGAGGGGAAGACTTGTCCACACCACCGGGGCGTGCCCCCAGATCTGCGCGCGTGATATTTCAATGCTGTGAGTGAGGAAAGATAGGTGACGAGACGCTTAGCTTCCGATTGATGGACATGATCACTGGGTGGGGCGTGTTTGAGTTCCGGGTATGACCGGTCTCATTGGGCCATATTCTTGTCTTCTGAGGGAGAGGCCATCCTTCGAGAATGTCGACTTGACTTCCCGCTCTGCTTGGCGTCATGGTTTGCCTCTGCTCTGCATTGCTGTCGCTGCCGGTGACAGTGCCAGGATAATTAGTGTCGATAACTTGGGAATTAGCGCCGCTTTTCCAGGGTTTGTGCAACTTGTGAAGAGCACGTCGTCCTTTCAAGATTCTCGGGAGTCGGGAGCGAGTCGGGACGAGGGCCAGGTACCGCTGTCCTTGAAGCTCTTGACAGGATCCTAAGCCAGGGACAAGAAGGGTCCAACAAGGATGGCGGCGGGGAGGAAATATTCTGTTCTTGTAACGTTTTCTTGACTGCCGAGATACTTGGTGATAATTGCTTACAGCATGGTTGCCAGCCGAAAGGTTATTCTTGGGAGTCTCCTGTTTCGTTTCCAGTGACTGTTCAATTAATGCAAGAGAGGGCCGAGATGGGTGTGGCTTGATCGGCCCTACTTGCGTAAAGCTCGCGGTGCTGATTGGGCAAAGCAGGCGCACCAGCCACTGGTTCCCTCAACAGGCTCAGTTTCGTCATTTCTTCAGCGTCTCATTTCCCAAGTCCCAAACTGATGGGACCATCACGTTAGACGTAGCAAAACCTAACCGCTTTCTGACTGGTCGGTTGCTGAGTTGGCTCACCGTGAAAAGAGAGGTCCGATAGGTGTTCACCGCTCGAGAAATTGCTTCGCTGTTCATCATCAATGATGAGCTAGGCCGAGACCAGGAATGCACCGCAACGTATCCGAGAGTCCACTTCGCCGTAGGTGGATTGGTAGGTCGGTAAGGTGGGCGGCGGGTAGCGGTGGGCGGGATATGGACCGCGGAGCTTCCGGAAGCCTGCCGGCTGTCCACCGAGAAAAAAACTGCAACTCACAGCTTCACTTTTTTCCGCGTAATTTCTTCTGAGGCAGCGGCTGCGTTTCCGCGCCTAGTTTGCACGAAGTGCTCCGTAGCTGTTGAATATCGCTCGTGTTGAGCCATCTCCTGAGCACCCAGTTTTTCTGTCGACGAACGGCACAGCGTTTCCTCCCTCCATTCTCGGTTTCGCTGCGGCGGGAGGCGTGCATTATCATAAGACCCCCCCCCTCCCCACCATCACTCTCTGTGCGTCCCGCTGCAGCACAACTGAGCCATTTCGAAAGTGCGCCCCAAGCGCCTTGCATCTCTGCAAGAGGGATGTGCATGTCGCAAACTACATCTCTGGTGATGTACAATGTGCTCGCATGCTTTTCCCTCATCCAGGTATGCCCGTATTGACCCTATCTTTGCGCTATCACCAAGAGCCGCTTGTCATGCGCATTGCTCTGCTGTTTCGATCATGTTTCCAGT